AAACTGTGCAACTTGAAACATATGTGTCAATTAAAAATAAACATGTGTGTAGATGCCAAATAAAAGCTGCAACTTGTGCAACTACATGCATTGTTGTGCCAACTGATTACAATTTTGTTCGACTACCAAAAAGTGTCAAAAGCTAATCTCAAAAGCATATATGCAGCTACCAAGGAATTGAAAACTGAGCAGACATGAATAGAACATAAAAATAGCCATTGTTGGAAAAAACAAAGAGAACGCACTTGTAATTTGCCGAACACACCAGGAGAGATCGAGTCCTTCTTGATCACCTTGGCAATTAGGCTACTATCCCATGCATTCGCTCGTATGGCGCAGTTGCTTACTAGGATATCATGAACAAGTGCATCAAGGTACAGGATCTGCCACATAACCAAAAAATGAAACCCAACTTCAGTTATTATGAGGGTTATTTCAGAAACTATAACTGCACAAACAAGAAAAACACATGGAAGTGCTAGTTTTCACTCACCATCAAGTGATACAAGCAGCAGCAAACGGTTTGCTTCTCCTGGTCCATGTTCCAGAAAGCTTCATTTATGTGTTCTGCTACAAAGAGGCAGATGTTTGTGTTCTTGAGCATTTCATGATCTAGCACAAGTCGGTGGCACTTTGGGCTCAGCTTCAGGGTCGTGGTTGGTGCTAGAGAAGTGTTCAACGCAACCGCAAGCCAAGCCATAAAGAATGTGTCATCCATTTTTCCCGCCATATCCTTAATCATCTTGCACCATGTACTGATCTGGGGATGAGAATTTCCAGTTATGTTGATGGCCTCTTTGAATCTCCCAGTTGCATCCTTGTCTACTACATATCTGACTTTTTGACCCCTGTTTAGGAGATCAAATACCCTGTGAACACTGTCAGCATCAACACGGATCCTTCCCCTGCATGGGAACACCATTTCAGAGCTCTCTGGCTGGTAGGACTACACCAGGAATTTAGTGAGGTCCGCTGGAAGTGTCTCTGGTAAGTTCAAGAGGCCCCCAAACTACCTTGACACTAACTCAGACTTCTGTGATGGGGATAGCAAGTTGTTGAACTTCGCAAATCGCCCTGGTGATGCCCTTATCCTGCCCGCTTGTGATGGTCGCTCCACATCTTCCCCTACACCCACCTCAACTCCTTCTCTACTGCCTTGATGATGAGAAAAATAAAAACATTAAACACAAGACAAAAAACTGGACTGGAAAAACTAGGAATGATCATTTGGATCAGTATAGCAAAAAAAGGGAGGGCCAACTTCTTTGCTAAAACTATATAAACATAAAATGGATCATGCCAACTAATATCATGTTCTTATGCAACTATGAAAGCTCATGATGACAACTGAAGACTACCAGTGTGCAACCTGCATAAAAACGAAGAAATGTACTAGACCTGACAAGTACAAAAAGTTATAGGGGATGTGCAACGATAAGCGTTAAATTGCAATAAGATAATAGCAACTAAAAAAAGGTTTGCAAGAAACTGTTCAATAGCTCATAAACACACACAAAAACCACATACCTCAACATCTGTTGCGGAAGATGAGGCAGCTCCTCCAGCAACTCCTGCCTACACAAATGGTAACCAGTGATGTCAACTACAAGATGCCAACTCATGTCAACTTCTGGGAAAACTCTATTTAGATCAAGATGACCAGTGATGTCAACTACAAGACGGTTATTGAGCAACTACAACAAATAGTGGTGCCAACGACTGCATAATTTCATCGGCATCTAAAAGGCAAGAAAGACTCGTATTCAAGGATTTATTTACCCTAGTAGATGATTCAGCTCCCCTTGCAACTGATGCACGTCTAGTCCGCTTTACAACCCGAAACTAATCAACATCCTAAGAAAATAAAAACATGGGCATGGGAAAAAACAAAAAATTATTATATGACCCAAACAAAACCAAAATAAGGTGCTTGTGTCGTCAGCATGCCACTTACCTCAACTTCCTCTCCCTGCTGAACACTATGCGCAGAGCATGGCTGGTGATTAGCAGCACACTTTGAGTTCCGGCGACGAGACTGACTTCCAGAACCCTAGTTAAGCAACCAAAAACATAAAAAAAGGATATAAGCATACATAGATAAGAAGAAAACAAATCAAAGACACAGAAAAAATGAAAAAATTACATCTTCTTCATTGCCATCCGCATCTCCTCCTATTATAACCATTTTTAGCCTGCGGGGGAAATACAAGAAAAGAAAACATAGTTAGAAGATGTGGAAACAAACTAGAAAAAACATAAAAGGTTGCTTTGATCTGCAGCCCTCTACACATAAGCAGCACACCTAGTGCAAAAACTGTAGAACATGTGGACAGCCAACTACTACAGTGATGCAGACAACTGGGCAATAAACCTTGTGCAACTGGACAGCACATAAGCCAACTAGTTTCACTAAGGCAAGTAATAACTAGGCGGAAAAATCGTTAACTAAAGGCAGCTAGCTGAGTATGATAACTTGTGCAACTACGGCAAACAAAAGAAGGACTAGGACAAAAGAAATGCATAGCCAACTAGAATATATGGACAAGTAGATGCACCAGCAGGGCGCCTACAGGGGCAACTCAAACACGGAAGCAGAGCAACTTTGTGCAACTCAACAGCATATAGACAGCCAACCTAGTACAAAACAGGAAGCAACCTAAGCATGACAACTAGTGCAAAAATGCAAAACATGTGGACAGCCAACTAGTATATGGATGCAGCCAACTAATCAGGCAACTTGTGCAACTAAACAACATATAGACAGCCAACCTAGCACAAAAACAGCAAGCCAACTAAAGCAGGGCAACTAGTGCCAAGTGTAGAACACATGGACAGCCAACTAGTACAGTGATGCAGCCAACTCGGCAGGCAACTTGTGCAACTAAGCAGCGTGTAGACAACCAACTAGTATAAACAGTAAGCCAACTGAACAAGACAACTGATGCAACTGCAGAGCATATGGACAGCCAACTACTATATGGATGCAGCCAACTGGGGAGAATTTTGTGCAACTAATCAAAAATCTCTACCTATACAACATGTTCAATCAGCCATTGCATTGCCCATAGCATTGCGCACATCTAACAACAACAACATAAAACTTGACATAGAACTTGGAGAAGGACTAGGAAAAATCATGAACAGATCTCAAACCCCTGCCCCTTAACCGCAACAACCTGGACAACAAACAACCGCTCTCCATCGCCCTAAAATCGCACAACGGGCGCCCTGGACGTGCATCCCCTGCTAGCTTTCGAACACCGTAGCAGAACGAGTACCTGTCCTACCCAACTACACCACTGTGCCGTAGATCTCGACCACAGTTGGGGGCGTGCTACCAGAGAAAAGGCTCAACCGCATCAAAGGGAGAGATGTGCTAAATTGACCATAAGTTGGAGCAGTTCGTGCCGTTCGAACCCTAGGAAGCATCCCCTTCACATTTCGGCGAATCCGCGACCTAGCGAGACGGAGAGAGGAAGGACAAGCAAGGAGAAGGAGAGCATACCTTCAACGCTGACCAGCACCAACGATTCCCTCCGCGGAGAGCCACCCGCGAGCCCCCCGCCGACTTGAAGACTCTGTCGTGCCTCCCCTGTATCGCGGCCCATTCGGTTGAGAGGCCAGGCGAGGACGAAGATTGAATGGGGACAATGGGGAGAGAGCACCGATGCGAGTGATTTCAGGCACCAATTTCGAAACCACCGCCCACGACCCCCTCTCCTCTCTCTTCTATCGCTTACAGGTGGGCCTCCATCACGTCCGGATGGGGACAAAACCGCCCCACGACCGCAGGCGGGGCCAATCAGACCAAGTGGCACCTGGCGGATGGGGGCGCGATCCGTGGTGCGATCGTGCGGCCAGGACGCGGCCGCCCGGTTCTGTTAGTTAGTGCGCGTGCACTTTGAAGGTTTTAGGTACTTCCGAATCATCTATTTTTTGCATCCATATGGGCCCGTGCAACTTCTTTATTTTACATTCCAAACATCCTTTAAGTGTGACCGTTTCCTCTATGAACCTACTATTGAACTGTGTTATGCAATAAATATAGGAAATCGTTTATTTTCAACCGGGTGATCCACGCAGCTTGTAAACCGCCTCCTCCTAGTGAAGCGTGTCCCGCGTGGACCCAGCAACTCGCACGCCTTCCTCGTCGTATGTCCCTCATCTCCCATCTCTGAAACCTTGTCCCCTCCTTCCCAATTCTTTCTCTTCCTTTCTTCCCATCGTTCCCATCTCCACTTCTCCCCATGGTTATATGTTTCATCGAGGAAGCCAGCTTCATTTGTGCTGTCGTGTCCTGCTGTGAAGCTTCCGTTATCTGCCGCTTCGATGCTGCCGGTGGAGGCGCCTGCGCTGGCCGTGGTCTCTGCAAGGTTGGGGCTCGGCTGCTGCTACTGGATAAGGCATTAAAGCTTGTCGGCACTGCAATCGAGAGGTCTCGCCGGCAACAGATGATGCAACGCCCAACAATGAAGCACCGCCGGTGCTGCATTGGAGCTTTGCCGCCGCTGCAATGGAGCTTCCTCGGGCTGCGTTGGAGCATTTGAAGCACCGCTGGCGCTGCAATGGAACTTCGCCGGGCTGCGGTGGACCTTTTGCCGCACCGTTGATGCTGCATTGGGGCTTTGCCGCCGCTGCAATGGAGCTTCCCCGGGCTGCTTTGGAGCTTTTGACGCACCGCCGGCATTGCAATGAAGCTTAGCCGGGGCTGTGGAATTGTGACGGTGTAATGGAGCTCCGCCGAGGCTGCCATGGAGCTTCGTCGGATGCTGGAGATGCTGCCTTGAAGTTGTCGCACACTTGGTGTTGTGTGTCGTTGCTGCGTCGGAGCGTCGGCGGACCGCGGGATGTTGCGTTGGAATATTTGTGGTTGTACGACGGCGGGGCTGGTGCGACCCGAATCAGTACTCCGGCGAACGGCGGCACTGCACTGCCGGCTGGGGAGGGCTACTGTTCCAACGACGTACTGTTTCTTTTTGAAATGGAACACTTGTATTCCATTACGACACGGCCAAATCGCCGGTCACCGCACTGATTACATCTTCAGGGTAGCTTGTGAACCATTCACAATGTTCATCATGAGCTAAACCTGCACCCGTAGAAGCCAACACATGTGCTGGCTTGTTACAAGATCTTGGAACATAGACTACAGAGGCCTCTATAAAAAGAGTGCTAAGCTTGAACTTAATATCGCTGAACATGATTCCTAAGGGTGCCAGGTTATAGGCTGTAGATGTCACAGCTTGTTTGAGCACGAGGCAGTCTGTTTCAAAAACAACACGTCCAACACCCAAACGATCAGCCAGAGAGATGGCATGTAGAAGAGCATAAGTTTCAGCGTGAAGAGCATCCGAGCAGTCATGTTTACCGCCAGCTGCTGCAAACCGGACATCCGGCGTTTCATCTCTGCAGATAATACCCCAGCCACCTGCTACTGCTTTTTCACAAAAGGATGCATCCGTGTTGATCTTGACCATATCATTCAATGGTTTCCCCCATCTACATTGCTGCACTATTCCTGGTTTGGGTTTTGGCACCAGGAATTCAAACCATTCATCAACATGGTGCTTGACAGTATACCTGAAGGCCTCAACCTCGAGTCTCTTCTCTCCATGGTTACCTTTGTTTCGCTCCGTCCACCAGCACCACAACAATGCCACTGCTAGAAGCATACGTTCCTTCGGGGGGCTAAAGATCACTGACAAGCACTCTTTGGGTGAAGCGCAATCTAGCAGCTTGACTCGGACGTACTCTAGAAGCAGAGCACGCCATCGCTGCTTGACACTCTTGCATTTGATAAACAAATGGCCCCCATCCTCAAAGTACTTGCCGCAGACTGCACATCGGGTGTCGAGCTCCACGCCGTGCCTGTTGATATTCATATACATTGGGTGACTATTATGAGAAAATCTCCAGAGAAAATGATGAACTCTGGGTGGGCAGTGGATCTTCCAAATAGTCTGAAAAATTTGAGAATTGTGTTCCGTATTTCCTGAACTCTGTCCCCGCTGCCGGTTAGCTTCATTTTTTAGCATCTGTACATGTACTTTATAAGCAGATTTAACTGAAAAACAACCTTTAATATTGAAATGCCACGCCACAAAATCCTCAGCTTGGTCACAGATTGGTATGCTTAAGATTGCCTGGACATCATCAGCATGAAAACATCCCTCAACTAGGCCGCGGTCCCAGCTTCCAGTGTCCGGGTCCATCAATTCTGAAGCCCTTGATAGAAGATTTGCACCTTGGTTCGATACAGGCATACGAGTTGCACCTCTGGGGATCCACGGATCCTCCCAGATCCTCACGTTCATCCCGTCACCGATACGCCAGATTATCCCTTCCTTCAGCACCTCTAAACCTTTGAGAATACTGCGCCACACGTAACTCATTCCAATTATAGGTTCAGCAGCTAGAATATTGCCAGAAGGGTAATACTTGGCTCGTAGCACTTGTGCACAAAGTGAATCCGGGGCTTGTATGAGTCTCCACCCCTGCCGTGCTAACATGGCCATATTGAAAGAGTGCAGATCACGAAAGCCTAGTCCACCTTCCTCTTTTGATAACTTCATTTTCTCCCATCCAATCCAATGCATCTTCCTTTCATCGGCTTGCTGACTCCACCAATATCGGCAAATAAATCGGCCGATCTCATCACAGAGAGACTTAGATAGATCAAAACAAGCCATTGCGTATGTCGGGATAGCTTGAGAGATAGCTTTAACATAGACTTCTTTACCTACCATGGACAAGCATCTTTCCATCCCTCCCTGCAATCTGCTCAAAATACTATCCTTTAAATATGCAAAGCACTTCTTCACCGACTTACCAATGTAAGTGGGCAGTCCCAAATATTTTCCACCATTGGTCTCAGTCCCCAATTGTAATTCCTGCAGCAACAGATTTTTAATCCCTTGTTTTGCATTAGCACTAAACATCACCGAGGACTTTTCTCTGTTAATAACTTGTCCTGAGCTTTCCTCATATGCCTGCAAAATAGATTTAATTGCCTGCACTCCTTGAACAGTAGCCTACATAACCAGAAGAGAGTCATCCGTGAAAAGAAGATGATTGACCCTGGGTGCCATTGGGGCCAACTGGATGCCTCGGATGTGTCCCTCCCTTTCAGCTTGGTGCAACAATGCTGAGAATCCCTCAGCACATAGAAGAAATAAGTACGGCGAAATAGGATCACCCTGTCTCAGCCCACGCCCTGGAACTATGACATCCGTGAGATCGCCATTTACCCTGAACCGGTATGTGACGGTTGTGACACACTTCATAATTAGCTGAATGAACTCTTCCGCAAACCCCATCCGCTTCATCATGCCCTCCAAAAAAGGCCACTCTACTCTATCATATGACTTACTCATGTCAAGTTTTAGTGCCATATAAACATCCTTTCCAGTACGCTTCCTCTTCATAAAGTGACTCATCTCATATGCCAAAATTGTATTATCTGAGATTAAGCGCCCCGGGACAAAGGCACTTTGGTTCGCAGAAATGAGTTCATCCAGAATCATCTTGAGAAGGTTAGCGAGGACTTTGGAGACAAGCTTGTACACTACATTGCATAGGCTAATAGGGCGAAGATCTTTGATACGATCTGGATTCCGAACCTTTGGGATGAGTACAACAATAGTTTCATTCCATCCCTCCAGTATACTGCCGCCTTGCAATACATGCAACACCTCTTGCACCACAACCTCACCAACCGTGCCCCAAAATCTCTTATAGAACACAGCCGGCATACCATCCGCACCTGGAGCCTTCAGGTCACCCATATCATCTAGTGCCTTTTTTATTTCTTGAGCTGTGTATTCCTTGCAAAGAAAGGTGTTCATTTCGGTTGTTACACGAGGCATAACATTTTGTAGCACCCGCTCAATGTTGGTACCTGTCATGGGGGTAAACAAGCCAAAGAAATGATTAGATATAAGAGCCTTCAAGGCCTCTTCCCCCTCCACCTCCACCCCATCATCTCCCCTTAACTTGGTGATTCGGTTGGCTCTCTTCCTCTTCGAAGCAAAACCATGGAAGTAATCTGTGTTGCGGTCCCCTTTTGTTAGCCAGCCAACATGGGCACGCTGTTTCCATGGACACATCCAGCTACTCCTCTAGGCGACCTAGTTTGAAACAAAACAACTTGCTCTCTCCTTATTCCAGCCTCCGACAAATCACCTCTACGACAATCTTCTAGCTCAAGCCGAAGCTGTTTGATTCTCTTCTATAAGTCGCTCAACACCTCTTTACTCCATACATCAAGATCTTTTGAAACCGCCCTAATCCTCTCCATCACCCTTCCTTCTCCTCGATGAGCCGCACCCTCCCATGCCTCCACAACCACCTGTTCACAGTCCTCTTCAAGTAGCCAGCGAGCCTCAAACCTCTTATTTAGGTTGTTTTCTTTCGGCCTATTCTTCCGCACTGCACCATGTACATCTAGAATGATGGGACGGTGATCCGAGTGTTCTGGACAACCATTCTTTACCTTAAAACCAGGGAAACGCATACACCACTAAGGATTAGCAACTGCTCTATCAAGACGCTCATGAATATACCCATCCAAACGATAGTTATTATTACGCCAAGTAAAAACATCACCCTCAAAACCGAGGTCATTCAAATTACAAAAGTTTAAAGCATCACGAAATCTGTCCATCAGAATTTGTGCACGAGGCACTCCACCCTGCTTCTCAAAATTGTAGAGGATTTCATTGAAGTCTCCCATGCACACCCATGGGAGCCTTTCTTGTTGGTGAAGAGTCCGGAGCAAACACCATGTCTCCTCTCCGTGTTCAGTTCGTGGCTCGCCATAGATGCCCGTGAGTCTCCACTTGTAACCATCATCTTCCTCAATTATCACATCAATGTGCATCCTTCCTAGCTATCTCAAGCTAAGATTCACTTCTCTCTTCCACAACATCGCCAACCCTCCGCTCTTGCCCTCACATGCCTTGTTGACAAGGTGCAGCATGCCCAGTGTATACCTCAGCTTCTCCACTTTATTTTTATTCATCCTAGTCTCAAAAAGAAATAAAACATCGGGATCCTCCTTCTGGAGCTCCAGAAGTCCTCGAACTGCCGGCCTGTTCCCGAGCCCCCGGCAATTCCATGCCACTATTCTCATTTGAGCTCGCGGAGCTGTTCATGCAGCCCCGCATCCACGGTAGTTGATTCCTCAACGGCCTCCTTTTCGTCCATGTCCATTTTCTGCTTCTTTATCTCACTTTCTTCCACCAAATTAGCCTCTATCATACCACGCTTTCTATCCTTCACCTCACCTTCCCCATCAATACCAGCTGGCAAACGCCTATTCCCGTCACCATTCTTCCTCGGCCTCCGTCTACGCTTATCTCCCTCATCCTGTTTGGTTTTGTTCTGGCCCACTTACACATTTGGTAACGATCCATGATCGACATGCATGGGGGTGTTCCCCTGCATGGTTGTGGCCCCCTCACGGTCTCCATCACCAGAATCCCCCTCCAACCCAGTAGTAGCATCAGGTGTATTAAGTTTTGGCAGCATCTCTCCTAACACTGAAGCACTTCCACCAATATTATGTTCTGAACCGGCTGCACTTCCTTTATCCGCTTCAGAAGTCTTTTCCCCTTCATTTCCATCAGTGATCTTCAGTGGGCTAGTGACCTTCCCCACACCCCCCTTCTTGCTCATCATTTCCTTGTCCTGGTTATTATCTTTCTTCCATGATCTGCTATCACTTCCAGAAGACTTGTTGTTCCTACCACCAAAGTTTTCAACGTATTTTCACTTCCCTCCACGCCACTTGCTTCCCGAGGTACTGTCCGAACCCCAATCGACTCTCTTAGCCAGCTTCCAACTCAGCCAAGATCCCCATTGCTGCACTTCCCCTTGAGTCAGCTTAGTCGAGCAGGACTTATCTGTATGGCCAATTATCCCACAAGTGTGGCAAAAATCGGGAATGAATTCATAAGAAAACAGGCACCATTTTCCTTCATCTTCCTCCTTCTTCTTTTCCTGTCCATCTACTTGGCTCCCACCTCCCCCAGCACACAGCTTGTCCTCATCATGAACTGTGATCCCACGCCAGAGCGGCTCTTTGATATTCAAACGAATCTTGGCTCGTAGGATCCGTAATCTCGACACCGCATCCACTGCCACCTCTGTATCCATGAACTCTCCGACCTCATTACCAATTATCTCCCCAGCACCTGCATTTAGCATACTCAGAGGCAACCCAGAGACTCTAACCCACACAGGCATAGTTGCGAAGTTGTACTCATCCAAGGTCTTTCTTGGGTCAAACTCCTCTGGCACTAGGGCGTCCCCTTTGAACACCCATGGTCCTTCCTCCATGGCCTTTCTCTTCCCTGATTGCTGCAGAAACTTGATGTGGAAAATGTTCTCTCCCATGGTCTTGCACTCCACCCCCCTCAACGGGCACCAAATCCTGCCCACTGAGTTCTCTAAAGCCTCCGCAATCACTGGTTTTTCA